ATTGTTGATTAATGGGGTGTGATTTTAAAACGCGTATATTAGAGAGAGGTTTTCACATTCTTATAATAAATGTTTTGTTCATCTCTTCAACCAATGTGAGATCTCACAATCTACTCCATTGGAGGCTTAACGTTTTCGCTAGCACACTGTCTGGTATCTGATTATGATACCATTTGTAATAGTCTAAGTCACTACTCGCTAGCAAATATTTTTTTGTTTTGACGCATTACGTATTGTCGGTTCATGATTTTAAAACACCTCTACTAGAAACAAGCTTTCACACTTTTGTAAGTAATGTTTCGTTCCTCTTTTCAACTAATATAAGATCTGATAATGCTCGGTCTCTAGCTTTTTTGAAGAGTGTGCGTGTTTCCTTGGGTGTGAGATTGAAGCCAAGGCTGCCATTTTGCGTGCTTTTGGCAAACAATGTTGCTTAATAATACCCACACAACCCTTTAAACTAGAGACGTTCATAGGGGCAAAACACGAATGAGGAAGGCTTTTCCATCCCCATCTCCTCCGTCACTTATTTCATTCTCCATCCATACAAAATTTCTCATTTGTTTTTCGAGAATGAAGACAGAAATTCCTACTAATAATTTTTCTCTATTTTTATTATTTAGAAAAAAAAATTATTTTATAGTTTTGATTTTTTAATATAATTATTATTAAAAATTATTAATAAATCAATATATTTTATAAAATATATATATATATATATATATAATGTTTTGCCAATCTAATTTTATAAATTAAAATTAATATTATAATATAGTATTTATAACTAAATACTATAATTAAATTCTTAAAATTAATAGATTAATCTCTTTAATATAGCTAAAGTGTATTATATGTGTTGAAAATATATTTATATTAAGCATAGTTAAGACGGAGGATATAATTCCGTTCATACCTTATGATTTGATTGGTATCCTATGATCTTTCTACTCACATCTTTGACTTTCTTTTCCCCCAAAATTTCTATATTTATTTCAATATTTCAATCCCCTTTACGAACGTTTTTTCTTGGCCTTTTCCTTTTTTTAATTATTTTCTTTTTTTGTTAAAAATTGTCCGAGTCGTGCATTGATTAATTAAGAGGAAGATTATGAGTATATATATATGAGATCTCATATCGATTGGAGAGATAAACGAATGTCAGTGAAGACGTTGGGCCTCGAAGGGGTGGATTGTGAGATCCCACATTGACTTTGGAGGATAACGAAACATTTTTTATAAGGTTGTAGAAACTTCTCCCTGCTATACGCATTTTAAAAACTTTGAGGGAAAGCGTGAAAGGAAAAGTCTTAAAAAGGATAATATCTGTAAGTGGCGAGCTTGGGCTATTACAATTGGTATCATAGCCATATACCGAGTAGCATGTTAGCGAGAACATTGAGTTCCAAAAGGATGGATTGTGAGATCCCATATTGATTGAAAAAAGAAATGAATGTCAACGAGTACGTTAACCCTGAAAGAGGGTGAATTGTTAGATTCCACAATGATCTGAGAGGATAACGAAGCATTCTTTATAAAGGTGTAGAAACATCTCCCTTAGCATATAGGTTTTTAAAACTTTGAAATGAAGTTTTGAAGGAGGACAATATCTGTTAATGGTGAGTTTGAACTAAGGGAGTGTTATAATCTCCCTTAGACCTTTTGAAAAACTAAAAGCAAAATCACTCGAGTTTATACTTAAAAAGTGTAAAATATTACCAACTAATTTTTAAAAACAACCGTAAATATTTATAAAAAAAAAAAAAAAAAAAAAAAAATTATAGCGATTCTAAGACCATCAATTTAGGTTAATTGTCGTAATTAGAACAATTATGGATAGGCCGAAATAAATAACATTCCAGCCCATACTGACAACGGGCTTGGCCGACATGTCGGCGAGATCAAACAGTTGGGGTTAGTTATTGGTGGATCACCAAGCACGGTACATCATTCGATGGGTCCCATCTCATTTCGTCAGCTAATTTCCAGGTCATTAATGCTTCTTTCTAATTATAAAAAAAAAAAAAAAAAAAGTCCGTGCGAGGCTGTGAGGAAGAGCTCCAGAAATCACGTGGATTTATGCGTGACAGCCAACCAATAGCTGTCGATGGGGGTCGGTGTATTGGGAATGTGAAGCTTTATGATTGGTCTGTCTTCTTTACTCTTGCTGGCAGGGAGGGATTTTAATGGGCCTGTGATTTTTCTAATAAACTAAATGGGCCCCACCAGCTCATTTTAATGGGCCTAATGGGCCGATAAATGATTCATATGGGCTACTCTTGCTGGCCTTGTCCAAACGGAATGTCTTAGTAGTACCTATCCAAATAAGTTTCTACTCAACGAACTCCGCCCGCAAGAAAAACCCGAAATGGGAAAGACCGCTGAACCGGAATCCGAGTCTGTACGGTTGGTTTAAGCCATGCTTGATTTTCGGTTTTTTTGGTAGTCGATTGGGTCGGTTTGTTTTTAGAAGAGTTTGGTTTTTTTTTTTGGTACTTTATCCTTTCATGACACGTGCATTAATCATCATGGTCTTCCCATAATACTTATAATTATTTATTTAATTTTTAATAGCTACTTTAATTATTTTTAATACTTATAATTATTTATTTAATTTTTAATAGCTACTTTAATTATTTTTATTTATAATATTTATAATATTTATTGTAAGAAAAAATCAAGGTTATTAATGTAATTTTGAATAATATGTGATTGTTATACATAAGAAGTGTCTATAATATATGAACAAAGTTTGAGTGTTTTATCTTAATAATTGTTACAAATGATTTGATCCAAATAATTCATGTAAAGGAATGTATAATATACCATAAGTTTATATAATACTAAACCATATACTAGTTAATCTCTACATATAAATCTGCACGACACACGTTGAGAGTCAGCTTGAAAGTGCAACATGCTAGATAGCAACGTGGGTCGACACAAACAAGCTAGGACTGCAAGCTGAGATCAAGAGAGACTTGGGTCGTGCGCTAAGGGGTTGGGTTGCACTAGTTCGCTTGGTACTCTGAAAAATAAGCTCAAAATTCAATATTGATCGACGAAAAAAAATCCAATCGAAGGAATTGGGTGATACAAAGGTGAGTGATTAGGATTGCGTGAATTCCGACATTCCAACAACTTGTCGTAATTCACGAGTTTTCTAACGATTACATACTCAAACCAATTCTCACCCTTATGAACGTCAAGTGTCACATATCCATCCAAATCATACGACTCTTCACCTTCATCAACTTTGGTTTAAGATTGTATCATAATTATTTTGAGATGGGATATTCAAATTTCTCGGTAAATTATATTTAAAAAAAAAAACCATATAATAATGGAGAAGGGTAGCGTAGTAATTAATCAATGGCTCAGTTTCTTGTTATGGACGCGGAGTAGAATAAAAAGTAAGTAAAAAACAAGTGAGAGAAACAGAGAAAAGAGGAGAGAGAGAGAGAAGAAAGTGCATAGGGTTGCGTTGCAGAGAAGGAATGTCGTCCTCCAGATTTGGGGATTCCATCACGATATTGATGTGCGTGGCTCTCAGAAAAACCTCGCTAATCTTCCGTCACGTTTCGATCTTAATCACCGATCTCATCGCCGTCGCCTCCTCCGTCATCAGATTTTTCCGCTGGTTTCTCCGCCCAACCGTCCAGCTTTCCGATAGGTACTCTACAATGTCGTTGATGATTATTCGCAACGATCGTTGACGCTCCCCCTGCTTCGTTTTCTTTTCTTGCTGCTCACTTTGATTTGATTTGATTTGATTTTCAACAAATTTCAATAGGATTCTCGTTTTTTTTTTTCTGCTTACTCTTTGGTGTTTGTTTGATTTTCTCTTGGAATTTGTGTAAAGTTAGGTCAAAATTTGTGTAATCTGATGGAATTGATTGCGGTTTTTGAAGTCACTACGATTTAGGAAGATGAAGTAGTTTCACTATTATTTTAAAAATAAAAATTAAATAATTACTCAACCAAACTTTGAATTATGCTCTAAACGAATCTATATCCTTTTTGAAAATTTGTATAATTTTCAAAGTGATGGTTGAAATTATTGTAATAATCAGATTTCATATATAAGTTGTCACGTCATTTTATATAGGATGAAAGTGTAAATTATATAATTTATTATAGCTTCTAATTAATTTAATTTTGTTATTTTTGATGATGGGAGAAGCATAGAATTGATGAGATTTTTTGGTTGGTGTTTGGAGATTTGGGGTTTAGGGTTTAGGGTTTGTGAAGTTTTTATTCTTCTTTAAATATGGTGGGGACTGTGGCTTTCTGTGTTTCTTTTATTTATTTATTATTATTTAATATTGGTATTTTTATTTCAGTTTAAGATAATATTTAAATATAACTCAATTAAATTGAAATAAAAAAGTAATTTTGAAATTGACCTTAAAAAATAAAAAAATATTGTTAACCTACCCTAGTTTAGTAAACTAGGGTTAGGTTGAATCAGTCAAATATTATTAATCTTTTTTACACGATATAATATTATTGTAGTTTTTTCTTCGATATTTATTGTTTTGAATGTGTGGAAGTTAATTTTGTAAACTCTTAGAAGTAAAGGTTTAATGATACTGAATAAAATAAACTAAAATTTGTAATTGAAATAGCTAAAATGGCAGCTGGATAAAATGTGATTGATATATTAGGTAAAATATTTGCAAATATGAATGAAATTCTACATATATTTTGGTAGTCAACAATAAAAAAGAAACATTAACGATACTTTTGAACTTAAAATCATAAAGTTTAGATAATCTTGAGTTAAATTAAAATAGAATAAAAAGACTTGATTGAGTATTAAAATTAGATTAAATGAATTTAATTGTCATTTTGATTGTATTTAAAATCTGATGAAAAAATCTAAAAGAGTTCTAGAAAAATGTATGAAAAATCAAACTTAAAATCATTTAACCCCTCAATAAATACTAAATCATGGGACAAAATATAAGAGAGAGATAGACAGAGAGGGAGGGAGACATGCGTTTAAAGCGAAGAGACAACGAGGTGTTGACTCATATAATGCCAAGACAACCAACCAACAAGTAGAAATCTCTACACAAACTTATATATTAATACTTCCTATAACACAGCCTTCACTTCATACAAACAAACACAGATACACTACCAGTTTAGCTGCCTGCTTGCTTATTCATGCTTTCTTCCCAACTTTCACATCTTACACATCGCGTAATCCATTGCATCCACCACGAAATCTATAACCAAAAGTTTCGAATCACTCGCCTTATGGCTAGTTCAAAATGAACACACTTGAAAAGTCATTTCAAATAGGTGCACAAAACAAGAAAAGAAAATACCTGCATCTTCCTTGGTGAAGCAGAGTGGAGGAGTAATTCTGAACACATTTCCATAGGATCCACCCTTTCCAATCAACACTCCCAAGTCTATATTCCAGAGTAAAACGTCAATAGTAAATAATATATCATCTTGTTATGATTTGTAGTTGTTGAGGATTGTTGGAAGAGTAGTTCCTCGTCGACTAATTAAGGGATTGATTATAGGTTATATCGAATACATCTCCATTGGTATGAGGTCTTTTCCAAAAACCAAAAGCAAAGCCTCCATGAGATCTCATGCTCAAAGTGAACAATATCATGTACCATTGTGGAGGTTCGTAATTTTTAACATGGTATTAGAGTCATTCCCTTAACTTACCCATGTCAATAGAATCCTCAAATGTGAAACAAATAAGTTGGGATCCTCGAAAATGCAGTAAAAAGTGACTCAAGTACTGAATAAAGAATGTACTTTGTTCGAGGGCTCTAGAGAAGGAGACGATCCTCGATTAAGGGAGTTGTTTGAGGGCTCCATAGGCCTTAAGGGAGGCTCTATGGTGTACTTTGTTTCAAGAGAGGATTATTGAAGATTGTTGGAAGAGGAGTCACATATTGACTAATTAAGGGGTTAATCATGAGTTTATAAGTAAGGAATACATATATGAGATCTTTTGAAAAAATCCAAAACAAAACCACGAGAACTTATACTAAAAATGAATGATATCATACCAGGGTAAATGTTCGTAATTTATAACAGCAGTCTATATTGTTTAGCGTGGCTAACCTTTCATATGGTCCATCACATGCAAAGTTTCAGCTTTTGCAGGCGTTTTCAGCTCACGATCAGTCACAAGTTCAACACCTAGCATCAGTCCTCTTCCCCTAACATCTCCAATAACTGCACGGTTCAAAATAGGAAATCTAATCTTCAACAACCAACCAACCAACCAAAAACCATTTTCTTTCAAGATTTCAAATAGGCAAGTAACCATTTTCTTACTTTCATATTTGTCCTTCAAAGCAATGAGCCTATCTTTCAGATAAGTGCCAACGACATGGGCGTTTTCCTGAAGCTTTTCCTTTTCAATGACTCTCAAGACAGCCAGTCCAGCAGCAGTACAGACAGGGTTTCCACCAAAAGTATTGAAATAGCTCCTACGAGTCAAGACCTCTGCTATCTCAGGAGTGGTTACTACAGCCCCAAGGGGAATACCATTGCCAATGCCCTATGTAGAAAAAACACAAAGGAAATAATTAGAGATTAGCTCATGCCATGCACCCACGCAGCTAAATTCTAACTCAGAGGGAAGAGAAATTTAACCTTTGCCATGGTCACTATGTCAGGAACAACACCTTGGGACTCGAACCCCCAGAAGAAGCTCCCAGTGCGGGCTAATCCTGACTGAACCTCATCGGCAATACAGAGTCCTCCAGCTTTCTTTATGGACTTATACACTGCAGGCAAGTAACCAGGGGCTAATTCAACGATACCCCCAACTCCCTGTGTCGTAGCAATGGTAAATTTTTAATTGAGAACCAGAACCAGTCATTTGAATGTACTTGAGAGAGAAAGAAATGTTACCTGTATTGCTTCAGATATAAAAGCAGCAACTTGACCGGAAGTTCCAAATTCAATCAAGTTTTCCACATCTTTTGCATACTTCTCGCCGTCGGCACCAAATATACCTCTGTATGGATCTGGGTTTAAAGCATGATGAACTCCACTCTGTTTCCATGATTAGTAGTGTTGTCAAACAATCATCCGTATGGTAATTAGGTATATGATGTGTTTTATTGCTAGGTAAATTCATGGAAGTTCATCCCCTTGGATAAAAAGAACAAGTATGATGAACAGTGACCCATACCTTATCAAGTTATCTTAAACTTACAGATAAGGTGGGCACAGACGAAAATTGCACGGATTTTTCAATTTTTTTAGTACAACAAAACTGGGACGATGATAACGACGAAATTGATATTGTAAACAAAAATATTTTATAAAGAGTTCTAACAACTTTTTGTAGAGAACCACGTCTTCGTTTCTGTAAGGGATAAAAATAGCGATCGTAATCATCGCCACATCATATTAAGATATGGAACTAGAAGTCGCCATCTCAATACACCTATATAGTATTGGGGAACGACAATAATTTTCACAAAGGTAAAGCATAAACAACTTAAAAACAAGCGGCAAGAAAAGCAGTAAAGCACAATCAGAAGCACTTTGGCCTAAAAAAATACCCAATTTGTATTCATCAAAATATGACAAATGAAAAGACAGAGGTGACTTAAACCTGTATGACATTGAACTTCCAGATGCTCTGTGCGGTGGCCCCCATGGTCCCGGCTGCATTTCCATGATAAGCATTCCTTAGCGATATTATGTCGTGGCATCCAGTGTAAAGTCTAGCCATCATCATTGCAAGCTCGTTGGCTTCCGTCCCAGAATTGGTGAAGAAGACCACCTAAGTAGTACGACCAAATCGGAAGCTCCAAATGTTATTCAAATACTCAACTTCTTAGCTATAGTGGATCATCATCATTATTATAAACACGAGTTATAGATCGAGGACTTGTGTTTGATATCATTGATAGCGAGGAAAAAAGGGTAACAATTACCCAGTAAGTGCAATCCTAGTGATATTCATTTGATTCTTGTAGCTAAAATCCAAGTGGTTCATTTACCTAAATGCATGATAATTTACAGAACCAAACCACATGGCTCTTGTCTCATCAAGCCAATAATTGCAACATTAAAAAAGAACATATAAGACAAGACAAGCTACCTAAGTAAAAAAGAAACTTGTTCATCTTTCCTTTAAATACTGCTGATTCATATCGCTGGTGATGTAAAGTGCCAGAATACATCGAGATTCCTTCATACATTATATATATCTTATTGCTTAATTTATAATACGTATATGAATGTCATACGACTCTGCTTTTAACACTATAATTCATTGAACTACAACTGTAAATACGACAACCAAAGAGCTTGTCTGTATCTTATATGGCCTAAAATTAATGTTGGCAGATGGCTTCCACTATAAATTATGTGATTTCTATTGATGCCTAATAGTTAAAAACAAACAACAGTGACAGCGTTAATATCATTCTCCTTTCCATGTATTACTATTTTTTCTGGGCGAGGAATAAGAAAGCAGTTGCGAACCTTAAGATTTCCCGGTAACTTCGAAGCCAGAGCTTCAGCAAAATCAGAGACGGCTTGGTTGAGATAGAGAACAGTAGAGTGCTGCAAGCGTTTGGTTTGATTGACGATCGCGTTCACAATATCCGGATGACAGTGTCCACAGCTAACCGTCGCGATCCCGCCGAAAGCGTCCAGATATCTGCGCCCTTTGTCGTCGAATAAGTATTGCATCTTTCCATCTACCACAAGCAACTATAGAAATAGACAGTCCAAAAGAATTAGTCCTCCCAAATAAACACGCAGATAGATGAAGCAACGTGATAGAAAGAAACAGAAATAAAATCAGATCGATTTCTCTCTCAATCAAATTTCTTCCGGAAAACAAGCAAAAATGGGGAAGGAAATCAGAACAAATACGAGTGTACGCAATTACAAAACCTAAATGGAGGTAAAACGGAAGCATAGATCCTCCAAACGATCAGTAGGAGATAAATTAACCATTCAAAACCCGAAAAACTCAATAAAAAGTTCGAAATCGTAATTTGAAAAACAGAATTAGACAGAAACACAACATGGACGATCCTATCCTATCATCGACACACACACACACACACACACACACACAAACATACATATAAACATGTTAAAAAAAAAAACAATAAAACATAATATAATCGAGGATTCTCACCGGCTTCTGGTAGTAGTTACACACTGACGGGCTGAGGAAATCCTTGCGCTTGGCGAGGATCTCATCGGCGGAAGGGCCGTTGTAGGGCGGAGGGGAGTAATCGAAGGGCGGAATTGAAGGAACAGCGACGTCATTGTGAAGAGTAGCCTCCTTATGAGCGGACTGAGAGAAGCAACGCAGGCGGGAAAGGGATTTGAATCCTGAAAATCTCTTGAGGACGAAGCTCTGCATTGAATCGATTGTCGGGTTCTTCTGTCTTCTCAAAAATTCAAGAAATGTGCCTGAATTACAGCCAGAGAGAGAGAGAGACAGAGAAAACGAGCAGTGAACTGTGATGGCCAAACCACGGAACGTTTATATAGGGAAGGCGGAGGAGGGAAGGCAGCGTGCTGAGTCAGAAATTACTTATTTTATCATTTAAATTTAATTAAATATTACTAAACAACCAACTCTCTTTATTTTAGTTTTCGTAATTTTAATTCTACCAATTTAATTTTTCCTATAAATTTTAGAAACGTATTAATATTATACTTTTCCAAATATAAAAATTATTATTATTATTATTTTATAATTTAACTAAAAATTACCATTCAAATTTTAAAAACTATGTTTCACTTTTGAAATTACACAAACTAAACTTTAATTAATTTTTAAACCTATAAAGTAAAATAGTAACACTAAAATTGAAGGAGTAAGCTAAAATGTATTTATAAAAAATTACTTTAGGCTAAAATATAGTATAAGTTAAATTATAAATTTGATTAAATTTTTTTAGTTTTTTTTATTAAATAAATTCACGTCTTGAAATAAAACCACTATGGATAGAGAATATATTAAATAATTAATAAT